CTCCCCCCTCTCTCCCCCCTCTCTGATGAAAGACATCTTTCCATAAGGCTTGCAGTTGTAGAGAGAAAAGTAAGACTAAACATTTCTTGATATAGAGGTGGTGCTACTTGGTCTGATAGTGACATTGCAGAAGAAATAATTTCATTTCTGGTGGAGCTGGAGCTTGTTTGAGCAATGAATTTTAAAATGTCTAAATGCCTTGTTTTGTAGGCACTGCTGAATTTGGCAGAACGTCTAGGAGAAGCCAAACCTCGAGGACTGACAAAAGCAGATATAGAACAGCTTCCATCTTACAGGTTCAATCCAAACAACCACCAATCAGAACAGACATTGTAAGTACATCTCTCTTTCTCAAACTGGCATACTTTACTGTGCATACTTGCACAGTATTTGCATGCTACTGTGTTTTCATTCCTTTAGGCTGCAGCCTCAACTAGGCAAATACTGTAACACAAGTGCTCTAAAAGCACTCCAATCAAAAATGATAAATTTTTAAACCAATTTTTGAATCGATTATCATTTATCTTGGTTTTAAAATGCTGTATAGTCTCACTTCAGTTAGATGTTCAATTTTAATTCATCAGTATTAAAAAAAAAAGTTTTCCCAATTTTTTTCAGCATATTAGATATTAAATGGGCAGCATCAATTTGGAATTTAGCCTGTATTGAAATATTTTCCAAGTACTAAAATTTTAAGTGCTCCTAGAAGAGCTTTTGACAGTTTTTGCAATTTACAGTTATATTTTCTTATTTTTAAGATGCATTAATTCTGTTTGAAAGATCTACACAACAGAGAGAGAATTGAGCTATAGGTGGAAGGCAATGAAAGTAATGTACAGAGTGCTGTGAAATGTTTAAATTTGAACAGAAGAGTTTTTTTCCTCTGAACTTCCACTTACAGCAACCTTCAATGTTATTTTTAATGTAGTAGGGAATAAATTTTATGGTGGAAATGTAACTTCTATTTTTTTTTAAGTTGATGATGTCCCTGGGGAAGAAATGTGTTAATAAAACATGAACAACTGAATATAGATGTAACTTAAAGGGGAAATTTTTCATACTAAAAATGTATGTGTGATCTTCAATCAGTTATGGCTTTGAGAAATACTTAAAACTAGTTTTATTGATTGGGCCAATGACCTCCTGTGGATAGGAATTTGAGCCCTTGCCTACTTTGGGATTTGAAACCATGATGAACAAAACAATAGCAATTCTCATTTTACACTGGTGCATTAGAAATCTACACCCATAAAGTTTGATCCCTGTAGCTACTCCAGTAGTGTAAAAAAAAAAAAACTTTTGCAGACACACCTTTTAAGTTGCCTATAGAATACAAATTTTTTGTTCTTAAATGGCAAAGTTTAAAGATATTTGCTATTTTTTTTCTTTTTTAGGTGTGTAGTTTGTATGTGTGACTTTGAGTCAAGGCAGCTACTTAGAGTCTTACCCTGTAACCACGAGTTTCATGCCAAGTGTGTTGATAAATGGCTTAAGGTAAATAAAATAAAAGTCTGTATTAGAGGCAATTTATAATGCCCTAGTTTGTAGTGTTTCATTTTTCTTTATTTTTGTCTTGCATTTCATCTCTTGTTTCTCATTGTTAATATTTAGGTTAGAAAAGCCAACAAACCAAAAATATTGCTTCCTTACACTATAGAAATATTTTTAGCGATTACAGAAAGATGTTTCTTCATAATATTTGTTGGAATGGGATCATTTTAAAAGGAATATGAAGAGAATGATCTTCACTGGCAGAAAGCTTGCCTATCAGAATCCCTTCCATTGCTATGAATTTGAACTCTTGGGACAAATCAAAAAAGTATCTAATTTTATAAGTATAATGCATGTTTGAGATATATATTTTAAAAAGACTCCTTTTAAGATATAATTTTTAAAAAGATGTCTTATGTTCTCATGCTGCTTTGATGATAAATGTATGCCATATAAATATAAATACCCATATAAATGTATACATTTTAACTTAGATAAAGCCCTATAATTGCTAGGCTTTATAAAGACAAGAAAATGACTGCCTTATGCATATGAAAGGCTCTTTTATATTGAATTATGTGACCATATTAGACTACAGTGAGAAAAACATTCCATGTTAAATAAGGCTGAAGACTCATGAAAGAGAAGTTAAACAGTGAATGGGACAAGATTAACAAGGGAGAGATTATCATTTTTGCTTTTTAGTCTTGTCAACTCTCAATTTTATCATGTTTCACAATATCCGAGTGACTCAAGGAGTTAAAATATTAATAAACAAAGCAGTACATGAGAAATCTGGGTTTTGGGGGGGGGGTGTTGTTGTGGGGGGGGGGGGTTAAGCAAAATTTAGTCATGGTTCCAAAGAAAAACTTGAAAGCATTACCTGTCTTCACCCTGAGCTCTCAGAAATCAGGTGGCAAAGGAAAATAATTTGTATTTATTGCTTTTAAATTTCAAGTGTAGTAGACTTTGTTTAATATTTGGGGTAGGAAATACTATACATATATTTCAGAAAAAGCAAATCCTAACTATAATTTAGGGCACATGTTAGCTTTGATGGCTTTATAGCAAAGCAGCCTAATAGTTTTGATAGGATTTTAGTAACACTTTAAATCCTTTTCTTCTAAATGTGATTCACTTCAGCTAGAAAATTTCTATGTAATATTTCTTATGATAATTTCAGTTCATTGTGCAGTTCTATGTCCTCATGTTACAGAAAGTTAGCTCGCCTGAAGGAACAGCAAGTTAAGAGAGGATACGCATTGCAGCCTATGCTGCGTTATGTGCACCTAATTCATCTTTGCACCAGAGTTCTGTTAAAATGTGAAGGGGAATGAATTTCATGAAATGCACAAGAACACAAATCTGAAACAGATAGAGTGCTAATAAAAATCTTTAAAGTTACTTTAAAAAGCAATACAGCACGATGAATAATTTGATTTGCCTAGCTATTCAGATATTACTTGGGATTTGTTTATCCTTGTGTGGTGGGTATGTGGGTTTTTTTTTTTAAGTGAAAGTTACAAACTCATAAAGTTTGCAGATGACACCAAAACGAGGAGACCAGTCCATATGCTTGACAGCAGGGCTGCCATCTAGAGGGACCCAGACAGGCTGGAGAAACAGGCCAACAGGAACCCAATGAAATTCAACAAGGACAAATGCCAAGTCCTGCACCTGGGAAGGAAGAACCCCTGGCAACAATACAGGCTGGGGACAGACTGGCTGGGGAGCAGCTCTGCTGAGAAGGGCCTGGGGGGTCTTGGTAGACAGCAAGCTGAACAGGAGCCAGCAATGTGCCCTGACAGCAAAGAAGGCCAACAGCATCCTGGGCTGCAATCAACAGGAGCATAGCTAGTAGATTGAGGAAAGTGAATGTCCTTGTTTAGTTGATGCTCTTTAGCCTTCATCTAGAATACTGTGGCCAGTGTTGGGCCCAGACAAGACAGACATTGATAAACCGGAGTAAGTTCAGCGGAGGGCCACCAAGATGCTCAAGGGATTGGAGCACACACCCTATGAGGTGAGGCCGAGTAAACTGGGCTTGTTTAGCCTGGAGAAGAGAAGGCTTCAAGAGGCCTATTAGCAGCCTTCTAATGCCTACTGGGAGATCATCAAGAAGACAGAGCAAGGCTCGTCACAGTGTTGCATGTTGGGAGGACGAGAGACAACAGGCAGAAGTCAAAACGAGACAGGTTCCAATTAGATAGAAGGAGAAACTTTTTCACCATAAGGACAGCCAAGCAGTTGAACAGGGGTCCAGAGAGGTTGTGCAGTCTCTGTCCTGGAGGTTTTCAGGACCTGACTGGAGAAAGCTCTGAGCAACCTGGTCTGACCTTATAGCTGACCCTGCTCTGAGCAGGAGATTGAACTAGAGACCCATCTGAGGTCCCTTCCAACCTGAATCATTTCATGAATCTGTGTATTCTCAGCAAGTGTTTCACTGAAGGGCTAAACTTAAGCCTTTCATGAATGTTAGTTCAGCTTTGGAGCTGAATACCTGTTTAGTCAGACTGTGGTGTGTGTGTGTGTGTTACTATACACTTTGCCTTTTTCCTCCTGCTAAGCTTTCAAGCTTTGGCCAAGCCTACACAGTAGACTTCTGCTGGGATAACTGGGTAGTGAGAGCCTAAAGAGCTGTGATTCATGGGTAAATAGAGCTAGTAAGAATAGGATGCCCTAATATAGGGCAACTTTTTTCCACTTGTCTTGTTTCTCTGGTGGTGGTGGATTTCTCTGCCAAAACACAGCACAGCTTTTGACTTAGCTGCATTCATCTGAGTTACAAGTCACAGTATAATGTAACTGTGTGTCTGCATTAATAAACCCCTTATCATGTAGTTATGTCCAAATATGCTAGTTCCCTTAATCTTTTATGACAGAAAAAAACCTCACATTTCTCATGTATTTTTGTTTTAATAACATAACTTTGGGTTTACAAACCTTTCAGGTCATCTTCACGTGCTCTCACATAGTAAAAAAGGGAGACAATCTGAATTGATCATCTTTTCACTGTCTCCTTTGGGTACTCTTGAGCACTGAGAGTAGCAATTTCATTTTGTTTCAGTGTTGCAGATACTGTTACCTTAAGAAGTGTATTTGTCAATGCATTAAACCTTCTTTTATTTCTGGTTTTACAGGCAAATCGTACCTGCCCAATTTGCAGAGCTGATGCTTCAGAAGTGCATCGTGATTCAGAATGACTAATCTAAGAGCACAAATCTAGTTTGGGTGTTCCTGGTCATGTGTATATATGAACTATCCATTGAACTTACCTATGTGGCTTCCAGCATTCCCTTTACACAAAAGGGTCAATGGACCTTTCTTTGCACTGTGTGACTTAATCAAGTATAAAGCTTATAATTAGTCTTCACAATTGTGAGATTGCTATACTAACCGTGTGATTGGAACTCCAAAGAATTTTTTTAGCTTAATTTTGTGTGCACTAAAATTCCTGGGTTTTGTGTGATCATTCTGAGTGTTGCTGCAAGATTACAGTGGATGTGATCTTTTAGCATGTGCTTTTATAAAAAGTGGTAGCTCCAAACAATATAAGTCTACCTTCTATAGAGCCTTCAGATACTGTGAGTGGGCGTGAATGGTGCGAGTGTGTGCGTGTTTGTGAGAGGATGTGTGAAGTGTGCTTGTGACTGGGTGTGCATGTGTTTGAGAACCTGTATACCAGCATGTACTGAGAACGTGTGTGTGAGTAGCATTAATTATGCTGCAATGTATAACCTTGTGTTATTTAAACAGTACTAGTACTGTACACTGGTTTCTTTCCTTGTGTTTGCAGTCGCACACTGAATGTGAAGGGTGCTGCAATTAATTATAGACATTTAGTATTTCCTCCCCAATGTACTTAATGGTGTAAAAAAACCTTTTTACTTGTTATTCATACAGATGTTATGCTTCCTCTTTATTGGAGGCTTTTAAGTGTACCTCTAAAGAGTATGTTGATTACTCAGTATGTGACTATCCTTGTTTTTATAAACACATGATAGGAAATCTAAATTTCAGTATGACAGGTTTACTACTTATTTTATCAATATAAAGTTGCAACATTGCACAAATCAATTAACAATATTAACACTTCCAATTGGTGACTTTAATGTTGATGCTTTTCTGTTCTCCTTCTCAATTCTTCCAGCTGGGTTTTATTTACATTCAGTTGATTTCTGATTAGAATTGAGTTTTGAAGATGCTGCAGTCATGTGCTCCTCCCCCAAAAGGAACCTGAAAAGGCACTGAGGGTCTTGTGCAAAGGTTTTTCACTTGGGCCATTATATTTGCTAAGTATATACTCCTTTAGTATGTAAACATTGACTTTAATCACTTATGTTCTTTGTTTACAAGAGAATTTGTATACAGTTAACTTGTAAGAGGTTATGATTTTATTCTTGCAACTTCATGAACAAAATAGAATTTCTAACATTTTCTCACAGAAGTAGAACTTCTGATTTTTGTGATGCAAAAAGGGTTGTTCTTGGTCATTCACTGCTAGAATACAGTTGTCCTAGGGTATTGCTTCCTACCCTTCTGTGTTTTCTGATAGGCCTGTCATGAAAAAATTTCCCTTGTTTCTTTTTCTGTCAAGTCTCCAGAGTGTTCTACTGTAGGAGAAGAGTAAATTGGTACACCATCCAGAATAAATAATTCTGTGAAATGGGAGGTAACCTTCATTTGACTGCCTTTCAAATAATATTTTTAGTTGTGTAGTTCAAAATATGAGCTTCTTTAACACATCAGACTGTTAACAATTTTAAGATATTTCAGTGAAATATTTAGGTCTAAACATACCATAGTTAATCAAGGGATACAATTTTTGGAATCAAAATGTTTTCTCCTAAATTTAGTGTCATTACCCTGGTTACAATAGCACAAGTGGCACAACTACCAATATTGCTGTAACTTGCTGCCAGTTTGAGCTTTAAGTTTGTTCTTTGTCATTTCTGATGCTTTTGTATGCTGCTATGCTTGAGTATCAGTTTTATTTTCAGACTGTGTTATGTTTTCTATGCTGCTTGCCCTTCTTTGAAGGTTCTACAGACCAATTACAACTTGTGGTTTTGCCTGTTTCAGATGCTCTTGTTTTTTAGTTACGCAAATAGTACTCAAAACTTTAGTCTATCCATACCTGTCAATAATTATAAACACTAAGTAAAAATATACCATTATATCAACTTCAAATGATTATAATTTCCCCTTTCCCTAAGGAGCTAAAGAATGGACTCCTCACAATAACATCAAAAAAGTTAAATCACAGAATCACAGAATCACAGAATCGTTTAGGTTGGAAGGGACCTCTGGAGATCATCTAGTCCAACCGCCCTGCTCAAGCAGGGTCACCTAGAGCATATTGCCCAGGATCACATCCAGACGGGTTTTGAATATCTCCAGCGAAGGAGACTCCACCACCTCTCTGGGCAACCTGTTCCAATGCTCTGTCACCCTCACAGTGAAGAAGTTTTTTCTCAGGTTCAGATGGAACTTCCTGTGGTTCAGTTTCTGCCCGTTGCCTCTTGTCCTGTTGCTGGGCACCACGGAGAA